TGTAAAAAATGGTTGAGACTTGAGAAAAGAAGCCATGAAAGGCACGAATTAAAGTATATCGATAAGTCCTATATGATGGTGGATCCATTTCAGATACTTTGGCAGCAAACAAAGCAGTTTGCCTCTACATGCTGGAAAGAATGAAGATGAGAACTTTATCTTCTGCATTTATTTTCAACCTTTTCCCAAGTAACACTAGGGAGGGTGAAGAAGCCATTTATTCTGGAGAGAGGAGGTTGCAGTAGGGGTGGTCTTTGATCTAGACCCTGAAGCAGGAGTTCAGCTGACAAGGCCTGGGGAAAAAGGTGATCAGACAGAAGACAAGCATCAGCAGAACAGTAGGAAGCCCACTTGGAGGCCCAGACTGGCCAGAGGATTTCAGAGGCTTCAAAAAAAAAAAATTGGTATCTCAGCAAATGGTGCTTTAATGTTTAATTGTTTACCTCAAAAAGGAGCAAAACAAGTCAGGAATACCTAATATCACTAAGTAGAAAGTCAACACATTTCTCTGAAAAATCTTCCTGAAATAACAAGTATTTTGCAAGGCAAAAATATATATAAACTATCATCACAAGAAGAAATGGTTGGGACATTGAATGGTATCATTAGTAGAATATCAATAAAGATGTTTTCTAAAACGTCAGAAATATTAACAGAAAAATATCTTATTTTTTTGGCACCAGGGATTGAACCCATGGGTGCTTTACCACTGAGCCACATTTCCCAGCCTTTTTTTATATTTTATTTAGAGACAGGTTTTGCTGAGTTGCTTAGGGCCTTCCTAATTTGCTGAGGTTGGCTTTGAACTCGAGATCCTCCTGCCTTAGCCTCCTGAGCCACTGGGATTACAGGCATACTCCACTGAACTTGGTTTAACAGAAATTTTCAGCATTAAAGAAAAGATTGATTTTTTTTCTTTCTTGATTATAAAATTAATATATGTTCATTATAGGTTTTTTTTTTTCTTTTGCCTGGGGCTTGGGATTGAAATCAGCAGGGTCTTGTGTCTGCTAAGCAAGCACTCTTCCACTGAGCTGCACTTCTAGCCCCTGTAGAAAAATTTAAAACAAAAAATGGAAAAAAGGGAAACAAAACAAAACAAAAAAGGAACCACTTCTAGTCTTGCATTTTTATTATTTTTAAAAGATAGCTACTGTTATTATTTTTGTTGTCATCTAGTTTTCTATTTCTATTCAAGCATATTTTATTTTTATATAATTGGAACAAAAAATTGCCAACAATTAAGAAAAAAGCAGAGGTCATTCAGAGAAAGGGGAATATTTTTCCTTCCTTTTTGACAACATTTGGGTTATTATGTCAACTCTGCTTTTACTTTTGCATTTCAAATATGAAACATCTTTAAGTAGAAAGTCTTCAAATTGATCAAAATCATAATTTTAAATCATTTCAAACACTTTCTTATAGTAACACAACAGACCTATG